AAGTTGCTTTGGGATTCCATCTATATAATAGGAAATATTTTATACCTAATACCAAGCACTTTTCAGATCGTCGTAGTCATACTCGCAGTCCTGGCAATGCCAATACAATTTAACCTTAGTCACAAACTTCTTACCACATCCACAATCATAGCTGCTCATACATTTCTTTCTCATCTTTAAATGCTTCTTTAAGTCTGCTTCTTTCTTAAAAGTTCTCTTCGATCTTCGCACTCCATATATAGACTACCATATTTGCGCTGTTGCCCTCAACCACACTTGGAATGGGGATTGTCCGTAGGTGGATTTTTAACACGGGTCTTGCCCGTGTTGAGATTGCGCTGAAACCCCCATTCCCTATACTACTAGTCGAAGTCAAATCGGAAGAAAACAAGATCCATGCAGGATTCATTTCAGTCTAGTCACTACATACACACCTATTGATATTACTAAATAATAATAATATCCCAATGAAAATATTTTTGGAAGTACAGAACGAACAGCAGTTAGGACAACAAAGTGGATTTTTGTGCAAGAAGCGAGCAATTCGGATCTATCTCTATTTCTGCCCACAAGTCGCACTTCCATCTCGATTCCGCAAGACATACAAAATAGAATGCATWAATCAACTAAAGCCGGCCAAGGAATAATTTAACTATCAAAATATTACCTTCAAACCGTTTCTCTGGAATTGACTTGCCTCCAAAACCTAGTCGCATAAGTTTTCGTTCTTCAATTCAAAACATGGATCGCGAGGACTCAGAAAATAGAGTGTCATTGCTACGAGGTGGATTGAAAGTCTGTCAAGTAGTTAAACCGAGTATATAATCTCGCTTGATTCCACGGTGTTCAGTTGGAAAACGTAACCCTAAAATCTATCATTTTGAGCTTGCTATTCAACCTTCTCAGGATTGTTGTTCCTTCGTGTGTAAACGTTGATCAGATTTGCATATCGTCTGGTAAGTGCGATAACGTGACAGGGTGTTAACCAATAGGATCGTTTCCTGATAGGGGATTCCCTTAAAGATGTCAGTACATGACATTTAATCCCGAGGCTATTTATAAAGAACATATTCCAATGATCATGACTTGTTGAATTTGATAGCGTGTCATGTAACTAGGTGAATATATATTTAACTGGATTGGAGAAATCAAGTGACGTGACATATGACTGGTCTTGCTATATTCTTTATATTATTCCATGCCAGTATCAAGAGAAAAGCGGTTCTATCAAACACTATAAGCTGAGTAATCTCATAAGATTTAGAAAGATGTCTTATCGAAAAAGCGTAGTTTGTGGAATGTATACTGAGTGGTGAACATCGTAACTAAGTGTCCGTCGCTTTCATCATCATCATCACCATCATCATAATAATAACAATAATAATAACTTTATTTCTGTGTCAGTAAACAGCGGTTGCCCACTAAGTAACTAGCTAT